ATGAAGCATACATTATTATGAGTTTTTGTTACAGCTGTTTATACCTATAAAAAACATGACATTCGCTACAAAATACAAGAATATGCCATGTTGATATCCCCTGCGTCCGACCAGTAACCGCCAACCGCCAACGTTATCATAAACTCCCGGGCCAAAGAAAGTATAAACTTGAAAATTGGATTTGAACAAAAACTTACAAATGTTATCAAAACGTTACTAGACTGAAAACATATACGCCCGAATACTACAAACTTAAGGTCCAAAACACAACTATGACATCCGTATGAAAAACATCACCATCGAATAACTATTTCTTGTTTGTTTTATTCGTAGCCACCATCAATCATCGGTGTGTACTTTCCTTGGCCTGGAAGTTTATAAATAAAGTACACTTTTGTTATTTATCGAGTAACGTGATGTCACATGGCTTGATAAAAGATGTCTCACGGTCGAAATGCTTATAACGAACGACGGATATAACGAACTAAACTTAGTGGTTCCTTTGAGTTCGTTATAACCGTAGTTAACTGTAATGAAGAACATGAGAGTATGAACGTCGTGTTCATTTGTCAGCCGGTCAAAGAACGTATGCTTGATGGAACACCAGTTAGGTCGAATGCCTCTCCAATGCTGTCAATGTGGAAGGAAGTACATTTCATATGAACTGACACTGAGTCTGAATATAAGGCACAACTTTGGAAATAACATAATACCATCTGAAAATGCTTTTCGTTTGATATTAAAGAAGTCGCGACCTTATGGAATATCATTGTTTTGGTTTCGTACATGTTTCGTTTCGTACATAGCACACGTGGTTCCGTTGACGTACATGTACATAACACCGTCAGATGGTGTTGGAGTGAGTGAGTGAATCGGGTTTAACGCCGCTTTTAACTGTATTCTAGTTACATCACGGCGCGTCAGTTTAATGTGGGAGGAAAGCCTAAAGTGATGCAGTTCTTAGACGTTTATTTTGGCGAAACCCACAAGCACGGTATGGTGCTGACAAACCTAGAAACATAATCGGGGCGAACCGGGATACGAACCAACAATCATAGGTACCTGGTGTGCCCAAGGGACGCAACTCTGCACAGCGAATTGCGGCGCCTTAGACGACTGGTCCACCCGTACCCCCAGATGTTGGAGACATGGCGAGTGAGTGAGTGAGTGAGTGAGCTGAATTTAACAATATTGTATCTGTTATATCACGGCGCGTCAGTTTGATCTGAGTTGGGGGTGGGGGTGAGGGTAGGGTGAGTGTGTGTTGTATAGGGCGATTTTAACGACGACAAACAGAAACATAATCAGAACAAATATGGGATTCGAACTCACGATCCTAGGTACAGGCCAAATGGATTTAGTAACGGAACATTTCAGGCCTTAACACCATTGTATAGGCATATCTATGTACGGATCTCCTATTTATGACACAAGTGATAACAAACTTGCATATCAAGTGAATCAAAATTTATTGACAAAACTTATATATATCTATAAACTTATGTGCATCTTCGGCTTATTCAAAATAAATTAATTTTGTACAATAAAATAAGGTATTCGCCAGGACATAATCACCATATCACGAATTTCAAACTTGTAATGAAAACATACAATTTCGTTTTTCCCGCTGTCAATGGACTCGGGTATTATTTTGATTGCTATACGAAATCATATGTGTAAAGAGTATTATCATAACCTTTTTTGTCAACATCATACACTATTTGTACGAATAATAAAAGTAAATTGAATGGGGACCGTTGTTCGATTATGTAATCGATGAAGGTGGATAGTTATAGAAAATGTATACAAATAAAATCATAACTCATGACATTAAAAAAGTTAACAAATATAGGATAACAATATCCTTTGTGAGCGTTGCTGGTGAGTCCAAGTCTCAACGTTCAACAGCAGAATAGCAGTCTCCATCGATGAGGTTGAAAACAAGTCGTTGTGAATAAGGAGCAATTCTCCCGCCATTAATCTATAGCTAATAAATCATATGTCAAAGTCTTCTATACATTTCTCAGTATATACACATCTTTATACAAACAAATATCCATGATAGCATGAACGTCAAACAAGAAAGCCTTCAACATCACAATGATCACTACCCCGCCTTGGGGCTATGTATGGGAGTCATCCAGACTCCGCTCCACCCCCGGGGGTACCAGTCGGAATGAGGGGTTGGGAGGGGGCACACACAGAGGCGGGTACATCTGACTCCCCTCCTCAGATCGGAGGCTCATGAGGAACTTCTGAGCTGCCTGGCGTTCTATCTCCCGTTCTTCAGCAGTCTGGCGCCTGTGGACGGAGATATGACACTGAATACAAGTATGTCATGACGATGATTTATACATAAATGTCATGGACAGTCTGGCGACTGTGGAAGGAGATATGACACTGAATAGAAGTATGTCATGACGATGATTTATACATAAATGTCATGGACAGTCTGGCGACTGTGGAAGGAGATATGACACTGAATAGAAGTATGTCATGACGAGGATTTATACATAATTGTCATGAACAGTCTGGCCCCGGTGGACTGAGATATGACACTCAACAGAAGTATATCAGGACGAGGATTTATATACAATTGCCATGAATGTATTCGACTTTAACTATTCACACGAGAGTGAGTGAGTGAGTTGGGTTTTACGCCGCTTTTAACAGTATTCCAGTTATATCACGGCGTGTCAGCTTAATGTGTGAGGAAAGCCCAAAGTGATGCAGGTCCCAGACGTTAACCACTTCGGTGAAACCCACGAGCACGGGTATGGTTCTGACAAACCTAGACACATTATTGGGGCGAACCGGGATTCGAACCCACAATCATAGGTTTCTGGCGTGCCCAAGGGACGTAACTCTGCAAGCGAATCACGGCGCCTTAGACGACTGGGCCACCCGTGCCCCCTCACACGAGAGATGAGACTTCCAAATAATAACACCCCCACATACATTCACTGCAATTGATTCAAGATACCAAACCAACCGACAGTTTGACCGAGTCGTTATCGTCATATATTATTTCCTATTAATTGGACCTATATATATCACTTGGTGGTTTTTTAAAAATGATCATGTAACAGAGATATAAGCATAGATAACCAGGGCATTTACGCTCCAATTTACAAACTAAAAAATACAGTTGCTTAATAAAAGAGTTTCAAACATATTTATTACTTTTAATTGAACGTATGTATCGTATGGACTTAAATGCATAATGCCATCACGCACCATGCGTACTATTACTTGCAAAAATGACTTGAATATGATGTTAAGTATCATCAATTTATAGGCAAACTGTCTGGTGTTTAATTAAGCGAACAAGTCAGCCTCTGCTCTAAGTCAACCTTTAAATAGTTGTTGGGACAATATTCTCTGTTGAGTAGGAACTAGTTGTAAGTAGTCGCTGAGACGATAGTCTCTTGTGTGGTCGTTTTGTCCGGGCAGTTATACAGCCGTTTTTATCAATTATATATCCCAGAAAATATCCTTGACAATAATACTTGATATATCCTTAACGGATAATGTGTGACATCGTTTGTGAATGCCCTATAGTTTGCATTTGAAGAACAACAATTAAATGTGTTTTATTATTCTGAGCACTTTTTTTTTAAAATGAAGTTCTAGTGGCCTTAATGGCTATTACTGTGCTGATGTAGTGTAGTGCTGGTAAACTAGATCTTGATGTATGTGAATACATCTAAAAACGCGAGACATTATTCAGGTGAAGTATAGGATCGTTCTTTCGTTCGTTGAAACGTCAAAGTACTGAAGAAGTTTTGAAGTTGTACGAAGCAAAAACTATCAGGCCTTCAGGCATCAGCACGGTTCTATAGGAAAGTCTGAGTATAGGAATGGGGGAATCGTCGAGAAGAATACATCTGTGTTTCTCTACCTATTCCAGCGTTTTTGAGTTCTTCTATGGTGTGGATCATCATTATCATTATCGTCATCAGCACCATTATAATAAGGTAACAATAATTCACGCCCTGTGTTATCGTTTTTCGTGTAGATTACTATTACTGTTATCACCTTAATTAATATTGTTATTAAGGTAACGGTACTTCATAATATTTATATTTATATTTATGAGGTAATGATAAGTCATGAGCTTTAAATATGATTCTCTTCGGGGTGGGGTATCTATATTATCATCATCATTATCACCATCATTATACAATGTGATCGACGCCATTATTTTCATAGCCGATACATCCTAACAAAACAAGTTTATTTGAATTCTGAAGATGTTGCACAATTTTTACGGGTATAGACGGCAGTATGGGATATTTCTAGCGTGTACGTTTTTGCTTGTATTGCATGTGCCATCAGTAGAATGTGTAACGGCGTTAAGATATTGACGTTAACGTCAAACAATTTCGATTGCACCAAACAACAGAAGACGGTATTGACTTCTCTGGTTGGTTGGTTTGTTGTTTAACGCCGTACTCGACAATAGTTCAGGTCAGTTAATAATGAAGTCTGGGCCAGATATGTCAGTGATTAACATCATGGGCATCGATCCATTCATTGGGGCATGCATCAACCAAGTCAGCGAACCTCACCACCCGATCACGTCAGTCGGCTCTTACGACAAGCATGGGTTGCTGAAGACCAGTTTTTAACCGTGACTTCTCTACTCGTTACCGCTACAGGTACCCGTATTGGAGCTATAATATATATAAGCCACTTAAAGATATTAAACTGTCTGGGAAAAGTGTAATGTAATGAATAAATCATTATCGATCTTAAAATGGTTTTAAAGGTGTAATATTTCTATTAATGATCACAGAACGACAAATCGCAAAAATAAATTTACTGTATCATATTTCCGTCACTTCGAAATTAACAGAGCTTAAATCGGGTTAATATCGTTATCAATTAGCTCCGTACTATCAACTTACACTTCCTAATTTCACCTCCTAGCTTGTAGCTGCTGCGGAAAAAGTCCCGGAGGACCTTGTTGGACGTATTGATTTAAATTGTCAGCGAACATTAAAACCCGTCTCCGTCGAACATGTACTGACCGACTTGAACAATCTATCAGTTCGTTGATAATTCAACTAACACGGGGAAGATATGTCATCTGCAAAATTGTTTTGGTAAATTATCAGATTTATGATAGTTTTGCTTTGAGGATGACAAATGCCTCATGAAAATGACTTGACTTGTGGTACCACGGGGAATAGACATGAATCCTAGCTACATATTCCTGCCGAGAGATTGTGCATTTTATTATCATAATTGTTTTAGATTGTACTGCATTACCCTTTTTCTTAATCGTAATATTCAAATCAATATTTTAGTTGTTAACTTAAGTCTTAAGAAATATTAAATGTTAATGACTGAGTATTTAAAAGTGAGGAAATCATTAAGCCTTAACATATATAGATTTTATAATTAATGAGTCTGAATTGTGACAGGAGTGTTAAAACATGCCTATGGTTTTACTAAATATAAAAAGATTTATTCAATTTGTGCAGTTTGGTGATATTAACATGGGCATATATTTTGACTCGTGATCATTTTCTCAATTTGTTTCAGCAGTCATGTCGATTAGAACGCATGAATGGTCACAAAAAGCATCACTTCCTTAAGAAGCAACATAGATAAAGTTCTTTACAAAACGCGTTTAAAAGTTAAACAAAACCTCCGATATGTTGACACAGTTGATAATTCGATGTATTTGTGTTTGGTATTACTTATGATTGTAATGAGACGGATCTCTGTAACACATCGGCGTTATGGTGTTGACCACAGATATACAATGACATAACGCTCGTGATCCTGTTTACAGCTTTCAAAACAATGTATTTCACGTCAATATTTCACATCTATCAAGGCAAGGTAAACTGCTGGAGGGAAGCCATTATGTAAACACTTATACACAATCACGGGGTACCTTTAGTTATATTAACACTGTGTAATTAGAACCGAAAAGGGTGAGGGCATTCATACCTGTATCTTTCTCTCCGGAATTGGACGCCTCTCATTTGAAGAACCCTCACTTGCAATTCACTGTGAGATTACACTGATGATTCGCGGGTGGGAATTTTAAGAGCATTAAGAGCATATAAGAGCATATTGTGATAATTAAACGCACATAGGTGCAGTGTAAGAGCATATTGTTGTAAACGTGCATGGAAAATACCCAACAATGTTGGCAAATATTCAACCAATGTCAACCCAGTCCTTATCATCAAACGTGGTATCATTTTAAGGACAACACCCGACTACACCCGATTACATCCGACAACACCCGACTACATCCGATTACATCCGACAACACTCGACTATCTACGACTAAACCCGATTACATCCGACAACACCCGACTACGAGTGACAGGGATACGGGTATGAAATATCCCAAGACAATGACGTCTCAGTTTTGATTTACAAATATTGCTGAGGTGTGTTATAATGAGTCTTCTGTTTAGAATGAGCAGCGATCCTATATAAGTACGAGTAACTTGTACTGACATTAGCATGTCTAATGCTTTTTATTATTTTGTAGAGAAGTTGCTCTGGGACTCTTTTTAACTGTAGGAAAGTAGCTTAATCAGTTTATTGTGATAATGTCTCATCATTAACCGATGTGTTTATGTATAAACATCGTTTTTTCTTATTATTTTCAGTTAGGGTAGATTCCATGACCTTTAACGCGTAATGACATATTGCTATTTTTTTATATTATTTTTTTTACATAAGAATTACGTCTACGAATATGTCAAAAAGTATCTTTTTATCTTTGAAATGTTCAAACAAAAGAAATCTATGCATTAATATAACTGCATAACAATCTTAATCATCACTATGTTTTCCACGGTGTAGTATTGTCAATGCAGCTTATGTATTACATAGTCATATGCTTTCTAACAATATATAATATGTAATATGTAGGAACTTTCTTTCTATCACATGTTTTCCCCAAAATATCATAGAAATTATTTTGTAGATCGATCATGAAAATCGATTCTTATATTATTCGAAAACATAACTTTTATCAATAAATAAATATTACTTATCTATTGCATGTTTGTGAGTAACATAACACTTACTGTATTGCACACACTGATAATGTCGTGTTATGTTGCTTGTAAAATGGATATGACTAAAAATCCAAACATTCTCTCTGAAGTATTTTTAAAGTGGCTTAACTGTATAGTAATTTTATTATCCTCAAGCAGACTGGTACTGCCTCACCACTGGCCCTATTTCAGGATAACAGAACTACACTGACCTCCATTTCGTCCTCCTGTTCTGGAACCAAGTCTTCACCTGTGCGTCGGTCATCTTCAGGGACTTGGCCAAACTGGACCTCTCCGCGGACGCCAGGTACTTCTGCCGAGAGAACCTCTTCTCTAGTTCCATAACCTGCTGACGTGTGAAGGCTGTTCTCGGCTTTTTCCGCTTCGGGGGTGTTCGATTTTGGTATGGATGACCAACCCGTCTGACCACTGTAATCAAATGTTATTCGATGTAATATTCTGTCAAAATGCAATATTAGTTTTGCAGCATGTCGTAAAACCAATTAGTAATACTTGATTACCTTTAAGCTATAACGGTAAATGCAATGGAACGAATGACTACGATTAGTATGTAAGAGTAATAAACACGTACATGTATTTTTAAGATAGTCTTTGGGTATCAGGAATGATTCATCAGTGTCTAGTAAGAAGCATGTTGTCAATTTCCAATATAAACAATAAATATTATTATAAACAATAATTCGAAAAACAATAACTGAGTTCATATTCAGTGGTATAATGTACAGCAGAAATTCTGTTTCATTCAGTTAGTTTTCTTGCTTGTAAGCCAAGGTTATTCTTTCATATTACTTGGTCATCCATTCCCTCACGCGTACACAGTTAGATTAAGAATGAGGTGCAATATCAATGCAGACTCAATATTAACTAATTGCTTTTTTCCGTGAGGAAAAATGAAAAAGTATTGATTTCCTGTCATTTCTACAGCAATAATAATCATCAAATCATGTTCATGTAAATACAGATCTCGTGTATTTGGAGAGACAATAGAAAAGAAAATGTTTCTTTAGGGTAGAAAAACATAAACAATTTAAACAATTCCTTTTAGGTGCACACTTGCTGTTTGAATACTGGACACTGAAACAAAACAAAGGTGTTTCAATTGTTCTCTGTTTTGGCGTGTTTCTGTTTCTTCATAGTGACTGACAGCAGGATGCGGCTCAGCATCCTTCAACTATTATACATTGAAATCAATAATCTCAGGTTTATCGAGAAACGTTCATCAAATGAGATGAAGATTAGCGGGTTGCAGATGAAAATAAAGTGTACTGTCTATACCTTTTTCGGTCAGAAAAGCATACATAGGAATGTGTTTAACGCTTTGAACAGTGTTTTAGTTTTGGTATACAAAGGATTAAAATTAAAATGATATATCTTTTTGTCTTAGTCAAATAAATATTTATAAAATGAAAATTACAGTCTTTCCTTTGCATCCTTACCTCACAAAATGTGGACACATGTGGTATGGAGAAAATGTTTAAACCATTAGATAGATCTTGAATTCATAATGTATATCTGTTTATCTGGTAAATCAAAAGAATATGACAAAACAAAATGTTTCTTTGAAAACGGTTTGGCTTGGTAAAAATGCTTCATTTCAGAGCGAAGAGATGGTTAAATGAATTTACACAATCGCTGTTGACGGGTCTGTAAGAGAGTGAAGTAAATAAACGCCTTTAAATGACAGGGCAGACAACGTCTGTCGCTAATTTCTTAATAAGTACAACAATGGAATTTACACGTGACAGCCAGCCAGTTGTCGTTATCTGACACGTTTCTTTTCAACATACAGAACCAGGAATACGGAGAAAGGGAAAATAGTGTTGTGTCTCTGACACTATGGAGCAACGCAGTCAACTCTTACTTTTCCGTATCTATAAAGATACGACATGCATGTATGTCAAGTAAATATCTCTGATTTACAATTATTTTAGAATATATTTCCATTAATTCAATTATTTTGAATTTCGCAGTTTACATACGCATAAATAAACAATAAACTAATAATGATCAGCTATAAAAAATATCCTTTATCGCTTCATCGACAAATCTGTAATGTCCGGAGATTATTTTTTATAGAAAGTGTTGAAGCATGACATATTGTTGTAAATAGTAAATGTTGATTTCTATTGTTATTTACAATTATATCGTGAGAGGATACAAACTAGGAAATACATTGTCAGAGAGATACCTGTATTTGGTGCAAACATATTGTGCACTAAATTGATATCAAAAACAACATTCACAAGTTAAAACATGAACGATGAAATTAATTAAAGACTTACTGCCATGTCTGTCTCGTTGTAGGCCGGACCAAGGGCACATGTAGTTATAAAGCTCAGGCCAGACGGGCCTTCCAGATGTGGAGCCATAAACATCCAAAGGATTGGCCCCTGTTGTGTTTAACTTATTGTAAGAAAACACTACGTCCGAATGTGAGGCACTATCAGAAATGTCAGATTTTTTCTCAACATCGTCGTTATTTTTAACAAATTTCGTTTCACTTCCCAAAATCCGCTCGACACTAAACGCTAGGTGTTTGGTGGATTTGCTTGATTCCATCCGTTTATCCGGTTCACAATTTGATGTCACCCGCCCGTCTGACTCTTCACCTTTGGAGGTAGAACTCTCAGAATCAGACATATCCGAACTGAGAACGTCAGAACGTTTTGAGTTTTCAACTAACATGATTCTCCCAGGCTACGAAAAAATCTATTTGGCAATGTCAAAAATCTCGGTGATGCCTTTTTTCGCCGGATCGTTCCCAGCTTCCAATAACAATCCAGACGCCGGGAGCGATTCCTGCCGTCCGTCTTCCAACTCAAGTCCGAAGATGTCCTCCCGTCCAGGCCAATTCAAGCGGGATATATTGTTCTAAACCAGCGTTTAACTCCCAAATTTGCCTGATTGGTGCTATTAGGAGAGTTGAAGGATAGACGCTGATTACATCCCTCCGCCAAAGCCCCGCCTTTATGTAATCAAACAGAATTGGGGTTGGCATGGGTTAGCATGTGTTTGCTTTTCAATTAAAGTAATCGATCGGTGCATGCGACCTGCAATCGTATTAACAGCCCGTCTGGCAAATTATCCAAGAGAAAGTGCATTAAAAAGCTTTAAATTATTCGCCAATATTGTTGGTCATTTAGCCGTGTATTAATGAGGCAGTTTTCGTTGGAGAATATTTTTAATAACCTCGGAACAGAAAGTCGCTTTGAAACAAGAACAAGAATTGAAAGGTTAGGAAAGAAAGAAAGAGGATTAGATTATGTATGTTGTACCCTTGTCTGACAAATGTATCTATGATGTTTTTCCCTTTGTTATAGACCATTATAACTTGAGGCAATTGTTCAGTCAATACAAATCGAATTTCCTTGCTGGTTTGGAAGTGATTATACAACAATAAAGTTTAAATGTCGCTCATTTTCCGATCGTTGAAATTCACAATGATAACTGCCGTGACTCTTTATCTCAATATCAGTTTCTGGCTGATGGACTGGCTCTCTTCCCTGTCAGATTCCATTCTGTCAAACACCAATTATTACATCCGTGAGGAAAATATTACAATATTTGATTTGATAAAAGCAAATAAAGTGGCGAACATTTTGAATGTATTCATTAGTTTGAGCGGCAACTTTCTTCTGATGTTACAGTTCTGTGTTGTGGGTGTTCCTTCACAATGCAGCTCGCAGTAAATGCACATTTAAAATCCTTTAAGAAAATATTGTTAAAGCAATAAAAATCGGAAAATAAACAAGAAATATTTGAATTGTAATATTTTAAATGTATAAAGTACACATCATAAAAGTTCTGCAATTAAAAAAGTTACATTAAGAGATATGTCGGCGAATGTCTGTCTGGCGTGTGAGTCATAGCGAGATTGAAGGTATAGAAAGTTACCTGGCATTTGTGTTTATACGTTTTATCAGAAACCTTATGTCTTCTTTTTTGGTGTTATGATAACATTTTATTTCTTAAATGTCATGTTATTGAATAAATAATGTGACAATCGGCCGTGCTTTGGTTCAAGGCGGATTTAGTAACAAAAATACCTAGAATACGATTGCCAACAAGCACAAAACACCATGTAAACAAACAGAACTTTCTTCCATCCGTTCAAGTACCTGGCTGTAACGAGCGGGTGGTTTTCTTTAACAAAACTTCAGCAACATTTGTTTGGAGTGAAAAAACAACTCACTATCTGATTTAAAAAAATAGGAAAATCTTAACGTTATGTAAGGTTGTAAAAATGCTTTGGAATTATGCTTCTGACAGCGATTTTATCCGTTATTCTTCAAATTTCAGTCCCCTTGTGTTATTTATGAAGGTGTGTAAGTGAGGGGCGGTTGTGTCTAGCCTGCTAGTGTACGTATGACACCTCAGGAGTGAGGGATTTCGGAGTTCATGCTGCTTAAAGGGGCGGTGAGGTAGTCAAGTTGTTAAAGCGTTCGTTCGTCACGCCGAAGACCCGGGTACGATTCCCCACATGTGTGAAGCCGATTTTCTGGTGTCCCCCGCCGTGATATTGCTGGAATATTGCTAAAAGCGGCGTAAAACCATACTCACTCACTCACTCATGCTGCTTTCAACAGTATCATATGTATCTGGGCAGGCGTATTGAGGAGTGCCGCTAAAATCACACGAGATGCGTGCGCATGTCATGGAAGGGGAAGCCCCGGGTATGGCGTATTGACTGGGAATCAAACCTGGCACTGATCCCGTGATACCGAGTTTAAACACCCCAGACAACTCGACTACCCGTGTCCTCCTCAATCATATACATTTTGCAAACATGAATTCAGCACAAACCAAATGATATACATTTGATAACACTTGTATCAAATTTAGAAGTTTTATGGCAATGAATCATTGAAATTGTGAAATTGCATTTTACAACTCGGCAGTCGTATAATAATTCAAATCAGCTTTTTTCAATGTTTATTGCTTTCGCGCTTCTTTTAAATTGCATATCGGTATAAGGACCGCGGCGTGCCACTCTCATAATCTGTCAGAAACTTAACAGGCTCCGGGAAAAAATCGAATCAAGACGAAAAGGATTTCGATACATATTTAATTTCTGACTACTGGCAAGAGCTTGCGTGAACGCAGACGTCCCCGGAGACAAGTTAATTGCTTAGATGGAGAAATATCCTAGACAAAGGGGTATCATTAAGGAAAATATATAGACTTTATTACGAAGCCATAACTACAATTCAGCGCAAGCCCACCACATCTCCCGCCTGTTCAGCTGAACGTGTAAGGGTGTAGAGGGTGAGGTTGGGTTCCTACACCAAAGTGGTTATATTAACTGTAGGTAAGTAGAACCAATGTCAGAAGAGACACTCAGACGAACAAAGCGATAAAACAGGAAGAGCTGCCATCACGCACAAATTACGCCCGTACATAAGAGTGAGTGAGTTGGGTTTAACGCCGCTTTTAACAGTATTCCAGTTATATCGCGGCGTGTCAGCTTAATGTGGGAGGAAAGCCCGAAGTGATGCAGGTCTCAGACGCTTACCACTTCGGTGAAACCCACAAGCACGGGTATGGTGCTGACAAACCTAGAAACATAATCGGGGCGAACCGGGATTCGAACCCACAATCATAGGTTTCTGGCGTGCCTAAGGGACGCAACTCTTCACAGCGAATCGCGGCGCCTTAGACGACTGGGCCACCCAACGCCAGAGACTAACCAGGCTCGATTTTCTGCCGAAACAGATTCCATTGTGCAAAGACACCCTGCACAATAAGCGCAAACACATAGACCTGCGAATAACCCAAACCATATACATGTATCCGAAAAAGCCAAGACGATACCATGTGATGGTGAAGCCACGTTAATATATAACGTCAACGCCAGAGAATAACCCGTCGCGATTATTCGCCGAAACAGATTCCATCGGGCGTAAAAGTAAAAAAGGGGGGAAAAATATATGAAAGGGTCACTGAGAGTCAGTGATGACACCGGGTGTTCGCGAAAGGAATAAGCATGTCCTACCATACTGGTCGCCCCAGCCACTCACACAATGTGCATAAAATATAAGTGTTTGTTGCCTAGCGACGCGTAAATCAGGTATAATGTAAGAACTGCTCACAGATTGGTGCTTGGTTTGTCAGCATCTCCCCCAAAGTGATACACGTCTTCAAGCATCACGTCCTCAAAACCCACTCACTCATTCTGGGAACTGGGTTGTTCAAAACATTCAGATTACGTATTGCATCCTGGAGATTTCAGTTTCATGTGTTCCGCTCAGGGTGAGGTTTCTTTGAGTCATCCTTCTCAACTTCAAGAGTAATACGAATAAGCGGGTATGGCTTTGTTTGTTGTGTAACGCCGCACTCTTTCAGCTATATGACGGCGGTCTGTAAATAATCGAGTCTGGACCAGACAGTCCAGTGACTGACATCATGAGCATCGGTCCACGCAATTGGGATACGATGTCAGCGAGCTTGACCGCCCGATCCCGTTACAGTCGCCTCTTGCGAGAAGCATGGGCCGCTGAAGACCAATTCTAACCCAGATCTTCACGGGGTAAGGATATGGTGCTTAAGTACACAAATATATGGGAACAAAACAATATACGTTTATGTTGTTTGTTTGGTTGTTGTTTAACGCTGCACAGTAATATTCCAGCTGTATGACGGCGGTCTATAAATAGTTGAGTCTGGACCGGACAATCCAATGCTTGACATCATGAGCATCGATCCACGCAATTGGGATACGATGACATGCATCAACCAAATCAGCGAGCCTGACCACCCGATCCCGTTAGTCGCCTCTTATGACAAGCATGGGTTGTTGTAAACCATACGACCCCGGATCTTCACAGGTCACCATTACTCTTAGACGACACGAGTGAGTGAGTGAGTGAGTGAGTGAGTGAGTGAGTGAGTGAGTGAGAGTGTTTTGCTGCTTTTAGCAATATTCCAGCAATATCACGGCTGGGGATACCAGAAGTGGGTTCACATATTGTACCTACGTAAAGACCGGTTATATGGAACCCAGGCTTTAGGAATCTGAACAGATTAATAGTACATAATATGCAGCATTGAAAACAGGATAATTAAATTGTTTATTAATATGACAATACACATTCATTTACTTCGCATTCACGCACTAAAGCTGCCCATTGCACTGCATGCTCTTCCTATGAGTATCGTGCTGAAAGCGATTTGTTCGTATTTGTATTTCCGACTTGCAAGGACACGAAGAAAATATATTTGATATCTTATTATAGATTTCTTCCCCTTTGACGTTCGCTTCTCATATTGAAAACCCGGGTTCGATTCCCCACATAGGTACAACCTGCGAAGCTAAATGCTAGTATATCCAGCCGTGATATTGCTGAAATATGTTAAAATGTATGCGAAAAATGATACTCACTCTTCACCTATAATCACAATTTGATTTTGCAGCCAGCGTAAGCATACATTGTTGTCAGAGGCTGGAATACATGCAGCACACACTGCACGCAGTAGGGAACAGTTGTAATGTAATTCAATTAAAGGCGGGTAACAGTATATAATATTAGAATGATTATAGGAAAATGCGAAGCGGAAATAAACACAAAGACTGACGGTTGTGCACGTGTAGACTCGTCTATTCTGCTAAATGTAGTGAGGCTTTATATGTTAATAACACATTCATTATTTCCTGAATTAGCATCACATCTGTCCCTACAACATACGCTCGGTGTTAAAGGGGCCCCATGCTCCTAAGCCGGGTACTCGGCAAGTCCCGGACGTTGTAATCAGCGCCTTGTGTCAAACATAATTTCTCTTTGTAACTGAGTAAATCATAAACTGTTAGATTGATAAATATAATGCTGTTTTAGTCAACAGCCAAAGAAAAATGAGTTGGAATAGCTTTATGAAAGTCGTTAGGACTGCCAATATGGTCCCCCTTTAACAGTGTCAATATGAATTGTCATTGCAGGAGAATAACCAGTTT